CTCCAAGATCAAGAAGTCCAACCATCAACCCAACAGCACCAAATGCCCTGACAAGCTATGGGTATAAATGCTTTTCTTTCACAATTCCTCCATTTTCTGATTCTGTTGTCTCTACTTCTTTCCTAATTTATTTTGAACTTCTCTATCTGAGTTCCAGCTTATATTTCCCCTTTCAGTTGTAGTTTAGATTGTGTTCGTTTTCCCACTTCCCGTGTTCTTCCCTTCTTCTCACAGGATTTGTTCCCATTGTTCCGTTTAAGCTCTCTTAGGTTCTCATCACTTGTTTTGCCTGTACTTTTTCAGTGACTCACAGTTCTCTACCTCAACTCCTAATTCTGCCATCTTCCATCTGATTTTCTAGCTCATTTTCTGTGTCTTTTCCAGCCAGTCCCAAAATTGTCTCATTTTCAGACTGTCCCATTCTGACTCCCATTCTTTAACCATTTGTGTATCTTTGGCACCTGTATCTCTTTGTCAAACCCAGTCCTGTGCCTCCATGCTCTATGGGCTTAATCTGCTGTTAACTGAAAATTTCTGTTCTGAGAATCAACCTTGTAGCAGGTACCTCTGTTTCCATATATCTCTACCCTTTTTGCTCTTCTTTCAGCACTTTTTCAGGTAGTGTTCTTAAAGTGGGCTCATTACTTAGAAGCAAAGTAGAAGGGGTATTTTTGTGGCACAAAAGCACCTTCTCTCCCCCATACTTATTTGAAGTAGTGTGGGGCAATGTGCCTTTTGGGTTAAATCTGATATACGTAGCACATGTACTCGTTCAGTCTTGTTTTTGTCAGATAAACTTCTTGCTTTTATAGGTTCTTTGTCCTTTAGTCCAAATTCACCTTGCATATTTTCCGGTTTAGTTTAAAGGTTCAGTGAATAATTTGATGCCAGTTTTTATTAACAAATTGAATTGCAAGGCTGGAAAGCTGTGGAAGAGATTATATTTTTGTTGTAAGAATGTTGATTTTCTAGTGCATAACTTCAGAGACTGCAAATAGTAGCTTATTGGTAAGATACTAAATTATTCTCTTGTAATCTTTAGGTTTTTTTGTTTAATGACTGAAAATCTCTGCATCTTCAGAAAATTTTGTTCCAGTTTAACTTCAGTCCCAACAAAAAGATACTTCCCAGTTTACTGATTTTCAGACTGAGGGCACTTGTAGTGCTTTTCAGTTTTCACTTGTAAACAAAACAGAAATAAACTTGCCAGTCCTTCGGACTGCTGATGATCTCCTAGCAGGCTAAAGCTAACTTTAGTTGATTTTTTATATGTTTAATTCTTCAGTTAATTTCTTTTCCCTGGGAGCTCTGAACAATGAGCTGAGAGCAAACCTTGGTGAAGTTGGGATCTCCACCACGGCTCCACCTGCAGTTCTAATTACCAGATCTACTGATTTGTCCAGTGGGCTTTACCCTCCTTTCTGGTGCTCTGTGGGAAGATACTAGGTTATTACAGCTTAGATGCTGTGTTGGATGTCAAGAGCTATTTTTAAAAATCATTGTTGGTTTTGTTGTAGTATGTGAAGGATGAAGGCTGTATTTGTATCTGCTGCCTGTTTAGGATTTCAGGGGGTTCTTTTTGTAGCTGTAGAGAAGTACACATAGCCAAAATGTGTCTTCAAAGAGGAAAACTTTGCTGAATTGTGAAGTTGAACACACTTAATAAGCTTTCAAAATCACATGTAGCAGCCCCAGGATCACCATCAAAGGAAGTAAAACATCTTGAGATTGAGGATCATGAGCAGATAAGAAGAAGCTGTGGAATACAAAAAGAATGCATAGGAAAATAGTAAAAATCCAAATAGCTTGTTACAAGTACTTTGATAAGGCCTAAAAAGTAAGTGTATTTTCTCATCAGAAAATAGAATTTCCTTGATGTCTAAACCCTTCCTGACAGAAAGTTACCTTTCCATTGGGAAAAATCCAATACTTTTTCCTGGGTGGGTGTTTTTTGGGGGGAGAGAGGGTGTTGGTTTTGGTGGTGTTTTGGGTTTTTCTTTTTTTTTTTTTTTTTTTTTTGGTTCATTGTGAATCTGCAGCTATAATATATGGAATGGGAGCCATAGTCACGTTTTCCTCTATTTTCTTTCTTTTGGGTGCTGTGCTACATAGGTCCCAGGGGAGTAATCCTGGTGCTTCCTCTAAAATAACCTGGCTTGAAAAACAGGGAGAATGTCCTCAAAATGCATACTGAGAGATGTTTTGTGTAGTGTTTCCATTTCAGAACAGAGACACCAGAATTCTGTATGGGATGGAAGTTTTGCTTTTCAGTTTTCTTTGACCAAAATTTATCCCTTCAACCAGGGATAAGTTTGGCTCACCTTAGAATTAAAAGTGTATCCAGAAGTGTGAAGAGCATCCTGAGGCTGGATTAACAGAATTTTCACTAGAAATGAGTTTTCACTTTGAATAATAACAGCTGGGGGTTCTGTTTTGCTGTGAAATTCATGGTTTTCTTTCCAAATTGCTTTCTGGTGTCTTTCTGGGTATATGCTTACAAATGAGTTGAATATGTGCCATTTTAACTGCTAGAGGTGAACCTTTACTAAGACAGTGGAAGAAAGGTGGTGGAACTGTATGTAACCTCTGTATTGCTCATTAGTATTGTAGTCCCTGAGGAGATCCTGCTTGTGATTCAGTGATTGCTTTTCTCTGAATTTCCCCAAATTGCTTTCTTTTATTGATTAAGTGTGGTGTTTTTCCCTGAATGTTCTCTAGTTTTTCAGTGACTTTTGTACTTTCAGTCTCACAAAAGCATGGTATAGGGCATGTATCATTAACCTGAACCTTTGTAATGCTAGATTAAATTACGGTTTTTGGAGTTACATATTGTTTTGGGTAATATTTTTTCACTGTATGTTTTAATTATGAAGAAGAAGACTTGACGCTTATGAGATTATTTGATACTACGATGTTAATTTACTTAAAATGAAACAAAAAGATTGTACTAGAGACGTTCTAATTTGAAAAAAATAGAAAATGGAAGGAACCAATAAGTAGTTGATTACTGAATTGCCTAATTTTTCAATTACTGAAATAGTGATTTGCATTAATACTTGAATTTGCTGAATATCACAGCTTAAATATTTGGTTTTGGAATATCACTGTAACTGACATGCACTTGGTGCAGGTTTGCCTTTGCATATCAAACCAATGAATGGATTTAATAATTCAAAATTATTAAATTCATATGCTTAAAAGAAAGACATTACAGATTAAAATAGCCATTTTCTTGGTGGTTTTCTGATCAAAACCACAATATATTAAATGCTTTTCCAGTCTCATTTATAATCATTATTTATTCTCATGGAAAAAAGAATTTGCAGGTGTCCTGAGTACAAGCCTCTTTCTGCTGTGGAATACAAACTTAAGTACTGCATTGGAAGAAATATGACAATGAGACTGCACTTCCTGTGTGGTTTAACACTTCTGTTTTGAAATTTAGATAGAATGGGAGCATAAGATAACACTTAGCCAAAAACTTTCCTTCATGTTTTCCCATGGAGTTCCAGTGTTCTGGAATGTCACGCTGCCGTATTAGCCCTAATAACATCTCTATACACAATACTGGTCTCAAATTGATGAGTATACCTTTTACTTTGGAGGTGTCTGCTGTAGTCTGTTGCCTTTCTGAATTATGTGGTTGAGTGTGATAAGAAGTGAGGCTTATAAGGAGTTCTGGTGCCTGGGAACAGGGAGGTAAAACCGTCCTTTGTTCAAGTGGGTCTTGGAAATCCCTGCTGTGGGCAAGGAGGACAGGCAGTGTTCTGAAACAACTGAGAAGTTGTGGCAGCCTCTCTAAAACGATGCTATTGTGTTACTTTTTAGGAGGGGGGAATGGAGGACAGAACTGCCACAGGCTTTTCATTCTATCCATCACTTCTACTCTCTGCCCACTTAGGGTTTCTCTGTGCATCCAGGTCCTCATTGCTGCCATGCCATTACAGGCCACTGTTCTTTATGCCTTTATTCTAGCTTGTCTACTGTGCTTCATCATCTTCTCTCCCCATTCACTGAGCAGAGAAAGTTTCCTGTTTCTTAAAGTTCTTTGTCTTTGGTAGGAAGTCCTTGGTCTGATATACCTGGATAATAGTGGCTCCACAGCATCACCTAGTGGCTTCCTTGTTTTCCCAAACTTCTGGCAGATCTCAAGTCGAGCTCTTCAGGTAGACTTGTTTGTAATGGGGAAGGTTTTGCTGCTTTGGCTGACAGCAAAGCCCTTGATCCTTGCTCAGGGATGTCAGGAAGCCTGTGTGTACCTGCAGTGTGCAAAATGCAGCTCAGGACTTTTCAGCCTCTGGAACACTGTATGCTACACTGGTTAAGTACAGGTATTGACTGTCTTGCTGTTGTTTCTAAATGGAAACAGTGTGTCCTGTGTTCATTAAATTTTTTTTCAGAACTGTTCTGTCTGCAGGTACAAAGAAATTACTGCGTCCTGTTCTCTATTCAGTTAATAGTATTTTGAAAGTAATCACTTCTGTGAGGCTTCTCAAAGGATGGTGATGACTTTGTAAACTTTGTCACCCTATAGCTTTTTTCATTTTAGAGGTTTGTATTCTGATCCTTTAAAAAATAATAATCGAAAGGCTCAATGTATTTCTTATTAATATTTTTTCTGATTAGAATGTCCCAGGCACTTTCCACTGTCTCTGCTGTTTTTGCTGTAATGTTTTTACCTCATGTATTAGGTGAGTAGTATCTACAGAGAGAAAGGTATAGTTGCAGTTGTCTGTTAAAACAGTGCATACACACTGTAAGAGCTTAGGACACAAATAGCAGAGTAGTAGCTTATTTTCTGCTTGGTTTTAAAGAATATGGCATTTATAAAATGAAGACCTTAAAATTTACAAGTATCTTACCCCAAACAGTTCAGAGTGGCAGGTTTGTGACAAAATGAGAATGGTAGCAGTAGAGGCTACTGGTAAGATACCTTTCATCTTTACCAATAAAAGGCCATCTGTGTTTGTAAAATTAATAAAAGTTGTTTTCTTTAACAGGCTGGACTAATTGAAGCCAATGGAGAGCTTAAGGTGTTTATAGACCAAAACCTAAGTCCTGGAAAAGGTAAGAACAATTATTAATAAGACTCTCCATTTCTTGATTTTCAGTTGTTATGCATTTTACTGGCTTTAAACTGCCTTCCTAGCATAGTTTTTGTAAAGTTTTTCTTAAGTTACGTGATCAGTAAGCGAACTGTAGATTTGCTGTGGTTTATAATTGTCTTAAAACTACAGGTGCATTTCAGTGGTGGTTTGTCCTACATGTGATCTCCTTAGTGTAGCTTGTGTTGAAGTATAAAGACCAGGATGTTCTGAAGCATCTTTGGGGCACTGTGTGTTAGGAAATGGAAAAAAAAAAATGCAGGGAGGTAGAAGTTTAAAATGGGTTATGACAGTTTTTATGATGGTGCATCCACACTCCTGCAAGCTTATCTCAAAATATATTGTGAACAGAACTGTTTTGGTCTTGCAGATAATGCCTGTGCATGTATGATAATGTAATGCCATTAAGCAATTGAATAAAACACAAGATATAAATTTGAACTTGAATTTGATATGTGAGCCAAAGAACTGAGAGTACCTAAGCTTAGGAGGTGCACTTTCCCAGTTAGCATAGTTGGGGGGAAAACCAGAAGGTACACTGAGTTCCAGCTGCCTGCAGTTCTGGACAGCTGTGTCATGTAACCCCTCCTGTAAACTGATAATGCTACGTTTGAAGACTGCATTTCATGTATTCTTACAGGAGGGCTGCTTCCAAAGTGAGACTGGAGAATTCTTCTCTAATTCCAGTAAAGTATATTCTTGTCAGTTTATGCATTCTGCTGGTGACAATTGTTTATCAGGTTAATAATTTTCTTCGGCATGTTTGCCTACTCTTTGTAAATAACAACTGGGTATCTTAACAGTCTTTACTAGTTTGACAGCCATCTAGCCACTGTTTCCTAGATTGCTCCTCAGATGTGCTCTTTGTCCCCTCTGTTTTCCTTATTGTATCCTTTGGACCTGTTTGATTGCTTTCATCAACTTTCTTGAATACAAGTGACTAAAACACTATGTGTGACTCTCAAGTGAAATATCAGTCATTTTTTAACGGAGAAATCAGTAATTTTTCTGTGCAACATCATGTTTGGTTCATAGGCACCTCACAATATATTTTGGTGAACTGGCAATTTTTCTTTGTTGTTGCTTCCAAATAATAACAGTCTGCTTTATTCTTGTGTGTGACAGATGATGTCCTTTGATAGGCTGTATGAAGTAAGGTGAAATTTATATTAGCACAGTCATCTGCTGTCTGTAAATCTTACTGTTGACTAATCTACTGGCTTTAAGCATTTAAGCATTGTTGGAATACTCCAGTACTCCCAGATTAACCTGTAGTCCAGTTCAGGTGAACTCCTTTAGTATTACTGCTCCAGTATTTTGTATACCATTCCAGGAAACCATTTAGCTTCTGTCACCACCACTAGGTACAGCAGGTATTTTACTGGCATCTCCCTAGACTCTGTCTTGGACATTTCCTTGTCTAAAATATACATTGCTTCACAGAAGGGGGTATCCCACATACCTGCCCTGTTGTGCATTTGGTGGAGGGGGCACTAAGAGTCAAGTAAAGACAGGTATTAACTGGCAGAGGTGTATTTCTGTAAACACAGTCACACCCCCCTGAGCTAGACAAGTGTGCAAGTAGGTACCTGATCCTTAACAGCTGTACTGTATTGTATGTCCTAACCCTGTGGGCAGTAACAGTGACTTTTTGCAGGGCACATACTCTAGGAGGGTACATTTTACACCCACATAGGCGTCTAGACCCTGTTGCACTCAGTGAAGATCTAGTCAAAACAGTGCAGTCTGGACAGCAAGAACTGGAAATATGGCTCTTCCATTATTACATAGCTCTTTAAGTAGAACTGCTCAAATTGGAGGGCATTTTATTGCTTATAGAATTTTGTAAATAAATTCATGTTATTAAATAGTTTATTATAGCCCTGCACTTTGTCCAGTTTGAGAGTCAAGCTCTCTACTCTCAATGTATAACACAGCAAACTGAACTATCCTCAGTCCATTTCTGCAGCCCATTGCTTTTAGGGGAGTTCTGTGAAGTTAATAGACAGTTACTAATTCTTAATATTGAGAAGAAACAGCTATATCTCTTAGCTTCATCAGTTTGTGGGTCTTGTCTCTAGCTTGTCTTCATGTGCAGACTCTGTAGTTTTAATCCAAGCTTAAACTTGCAAATATTTGTCACTAAAGTACTCAGATATGTATCAGGATTTATTCACTAAAGTAGTACATTTTTCCTTTGCCACCTTTTTATAATTTTTAGAGGGTTTTGTGCAGTCTTTAAATGTTGATGTTGACAACTACACTCTCTCTAAAAGTAGCTGTCTGCATTGCATGCCATTATATCAACAAAGTGCTGTCCTCTGCTATTTCTTAAAATCTGTGCAACATTTCTCTTAATTTCCTGATGGAGAGGATTCAGTCCAGAACAAGCATGGAGTAAGCTTTCCATAGGGTAGCAGAAGTGTATCTGGTATACTTTTTTAGGGGGAGTTGAAGGTGGTTAGGGAAAAAATCTTTATGTTCTTATCTGGTGGTCAACATTAAAAGGTCTTCTTGATGTTTTTGTTTGTTTGTTTGTTTGGGTTTTTGTTTGTTTTTTTTCTTCATCTTCCCCTTCAGATTTGTATTTCTTTTAAGGGAAGAAATTTTGTATATTTCTTTTCTGGAAGTTGCAAGTCAATCATGAGAAGAGATTGAGAGTACATTGCATGATTGATATTGGTTGTGGGGTTGAATCTCCCTACACAGATGAGGGGTTTGTTTAACCCAATCTGCTGCCCTTGACAACAGTAATGGGGCAGGCTCTTGATGGAGAATGCAGGAGCCTGGCTACTTTTTGAAGTTCATTCTTATTGCTCCTACAGCATTCAAAGTCATTGGATTAGTAGTACCAGAGGGTGCATTCTATCACAGTTTTGGAAAAGTCCAACTTTGAAACTCGGTGAATTGAGAAGAAAATCCAACAAGAAATCTGTTACTTGCTTCAGTTTCTACTTGTTGCTAGCCAGATGTGAAAGGAGGAGGAGTTCAGCTGTCAGAGGAATAAAGGTTTTAGGGGGATGGTAGAGGACAAAAAATTACTTGTGTGCTGGGTCATAAGGACATGCTTGCAAAAACAGGGTTAGAGAGAAAGAGCAGAATATTGTTGCTGAAACTGTTCTACAACATTGTGGTCTGCAGTCTATAAGGTAGGACGTGACTAAGTGGTATATGACCATAAGGTATATGACTCAAGTAGGAGAGATAAGCAAAGGTTGGCTCTTCTGGTCAAAACCAGTTATGATGCAAAAGTTCTCACAACCTGAGTAGATTTGTTGCAATGCTTTCAAAATGGGCTGTGAATGAGCTTCTGTAAATTTTTAATCTGTACTGACAGAAATATGGTAACTGGATAAGCTCTTTTCAGACTTGAGTTTTGGTGGTAGAGTTATGTTGCTGTTGTTTCTTAGATGAATAATAAAGAGGAAACATCACCATCTTGCTGAACAGTTATGCTGAAAAACCTCTTGCTCAAAAAGTCCTACAGATTTGGAATCAGATAGAGAGGGTATATTACAGAATAATCTCTGCATGCAAGTCTTATCCATACACTCATTCCCTGACTGTTCACTGATGTCTGCTGACAGAAGCAGGTTTCCAGTGTAGAAAAGCTTTTTGCTTTAGCAAATGGGGGCAAGCTTCCAGCATCTCATGGAGAGACTGATCTCAGAAAGACTGGTCTCAGCCATGAACTCCAGATTAGGATTTGTGTTTTAAAGCTGAGACAGACTTTATTTGTTTTAAGAGAAGAAAACAGTATATAAAAAACCCCAAATAAAAACATAACAAGCTCCAAAAAACCCAAACAACAACTCCACGAAGGTTTGTTTATAATAAGTAATGCACGCAATTTTGAATAAATTAGTCATGCACATAAAATACCTTTCTAGAAAATGCTCTAAAAATGTATTGCTTCAAAACCATCTCTAGTGTGAAGTAAGAGGTATCAGCCTATTTGTGGTAGAGATGAGATGGCAGCTTGTGTTTGCTTGTGCAAACTCCAGAAGAAGTTGCCTGTAAATTTGCCCATGTTTTCTGATACCCCTGTGTACTGTTACTGGAGTGTAACACTCTATATAGCCCTGAAAAAACAGTATTACTGTGAAAGGTTTGTTTTCCTTGGTAACCAGGAAGGTGGTTTCCAACTGGCTAATTAATTTTGAGAGTTAGCAAATACATATGGTTTGGAAGGATAGAAAGAATTTTTAATAGGATCTGAACTAGTAAAACTTCCTTATGAGTTTGTGTTTTCTATTGGTTATTTGGCAATGAAATTTAGAAACTTGAGAAATTTTGCTGTTTCTGGAGGTTACATTTTAAAGAAAACTGTTACATTCTGGCCCTTGCCATATTGAGATGAGTGTTGATATTTAAGTATTAAATAGAATACTATTCAAGTCTAATCATGCCCCTCACTTGTGGAGAAATTTGGATGAAAGAAATTACTTGCTTCAGATGAGTGTGAGGGAAAAAGTAACCAGTAGTATTAATATTGTGTTGAAATTAAAGCTCTTAGTTTAAAAGTTACTCAGAAAAAAAAGTTGGATATTCTCTTATGCCAGTAGGTGGCATTATTGGTATGGAACTAGAAAATGTTTATACGGTATGTCTCTAGCTCCTTTCACTGCTTACACTTTAAAAAAGGGTTCACAATTTATAGGCTAATTATATTTACATTTCAGATTTGTAAAATCTGAAATTTTAAATGTAAAATTTTAAGGTATGTTTAGACTTGTATTTCAACACTGCCTAACTATAAGATTGTTTTGTTCTTTTTATTTATATGACAAGAAACTTGCAGAGTAATGTTATTGTTACTTTTACTTGAAAATTCATACTCCTTGATTTTTAACAGTGACTGGAATTGTTCCTCTGGAATAGACAAAGAGATTAATTTCAGAGCCCCATGAATTATGCTTCAGCAAACAGATGCTTGAAATTGGTTATAAAATCTATATTACT